CTTAACCTAGACATTCCCTAACCTAATACCAAATATATCATTTTCCTAGCAGGAGGTAATACTCAAAACTTTATGTCTCTTATTTTAAAATCAAAATCCATTTCTGTGAAGTATTTTTTTTTTAAATACATTGAGAGGTAAGGTGAGTGTAGTACCTAAAGACTGCCACACTGAGGCGTGTGGTGGCTTTCAGATCGAGGCTACTTAAGTCTTCCTTACAGGTAATAATAGTAATCACGAAATTAAATTTGGAAAGCCCAGATGGAAGTTAATTAGTAAGCATCTCCTTTTCTGTGTGGAGGGGTGGTGTGAATTGATTGCTAAAAAGAGTCCTACACATTAGAAGGTTATCATATGTTAGAATGATAGGAAATAGAAAGTCACATGGTCATCTTTTTTCTAGAAACTCCGCCTAAACCATAAAGGAGAAATGATCTATGTCCTATTATTTAAAGCGTTCAAGCAAGGAGGTCCCTCAATCATCCTGCTCAGTACTGAACAGTCATCATCATGTGATGATTCTCGTTTTGTCTGGCCAGATGGAGAATGGCTACGATGCTTAGAGTTACAAAAATCACAAATACAGCATATGCAACACAATGACACCCTGCTTATTTGTCAGAGGAAAAACACATTTTGGCAACTGTTGGAAATTAAGTCCACTTCAGAACGGAATACTGGAGAACAGCTTCCTTATTTAATATATTATTTGGAAACGAAGAACTTTAAAATGAGGTCATATCAATGGCCTCAAAACATATAAAACAAAATTTGACAGAATTATAAGAAAAAGTGACAAATCTAATGTCAAATTTTTAACACAATTCTCAATGACTAAGACAGCATACAGACAAAATAGATATAATATAGCTGATATAAATAATGTGATTTAGTAAACATATAGCTGATATAAACAATGTAATTATAAACTTAATCCAATAAACACATATAGAATGCATACCCAATAATTAGGCAATGTATGCTCCTTCCTAGCACAATTGAAACATTTGCACACCTTGATCACATGCTAGGCCACAAAGCAAGGTTTAAGAAATACCAAAGAACCTGTATCACATAGACCATATTCTCTGACTATAATACAGTTGGAAGATATTTATAAAATATGACTTAAAAAACTCCCATATTTTGACATATAAAAATATTTATAAATAGCTTGTGGTTTAAAGAAATTTTAGTATTTACAACAGAATGGAAACAAAACTATTATATATCAAAATACCTAGAATATAGCTAATGTAGCACTGAAGGGGAATGTATAGCTTTAAATAAGTATACTAGAAAAGAATTAGGTCTCCAAAATAATGAGCTAAGCTTTCAAGTCGAGAAATTAGAAAAAAAGAGAGTCAATAAAAGAAACAAAGAGCAGAAATCAATGAAAAAGAAAGCAATATATATATCTTCGCTATTGTATCTTTGTTTTACATTTAATTAACTTCTGCTCTAGGCCTAGATGGTTTACTCCCCAAATAATAACGAGTGACATAACCCTGAAACCAAAACCACACAAGGACAAAATAAGAAAGGAAATTATAGGCCTATCTCACTTAGGAATACAGATGTAAATATGAGCAACCTGAATCAAGCCAATGTAGTAAGAATACACATTATAACCAAATGGGCTTAGCCCAGGAAAACAAGGATGATTAAACAGTAGAAAATCACTTACTGAAATTGATCATAGCAACAAATATATGATGTTAATACATAAAGAGATTATTTGCTAACATTCAACATCTGTTAATGGGGAAAAAACCAACAACAACCCAGGCTAGACAGAACATCTTTAATGTGCTCAAACTTGATTTCAAAATTAATGTGAAGAAAGAAGGGTCAAAAATAGCCAAGAAATTCTGCAGTGGAACAACCTGGGAAGACACATCCCACCAGACTCAATAGATTCTGTATTAACCATGGTGTGACTTTGGTGAATGGATATAAACCAAAGTGCATTAGGGCAATTCCACCCACAAAGGAAAAGTTGACATTTGACAGAGAACATGCTAACTCGCTGAGGAAATACAAGCCATGCAAATGAATACAGTGGCACAGCTGGTCTTCCATAATGGAAAAATAATTTCATTTCATTAATCCCAACCTCATATCATGTAAAAAATCATTTCTAGGAGGTTTAAGGCCTACATTTGAAACAACTTTTTGAAGAAAATATAGAATATCTTTATGATCTTAAGGCAGAGGTGGGTTCTTAAACAAAACCTATGCATTTAATGGTGATAAAATAAAAAATTTATGTACAACAAGGACATGATGAAAATAGGAAACAATAAGAAAGGATGATGTTCATGATGCATATAACCAAAGAACAGAATATGAGAATAAGAAGAGTTTAATAGAAAAATAGGTAAAAATATGAGAGAGCAATTTATAGGATGTATAATTATATAAAAAGTTATTCAATATAATTTGTAATCAGGGAAATATAAAGTAAAACAACAAAACAATTTCATACCCTTAATTTTTTTTAATACCAAGTGATGGTAAGGTTGTAGAGCATTGGGAGCTCTCATTCACTGCAGATGAGAGTATTTACTGATTTAGAGAGAAAATGGCAACATTTAGTAAGTGGAAGGCATCTAAACCCATGATTCAGCAAATCCATTCCTATATATGTAACATCAAGCCCTGGCTATGTAGCTCAGTTGGTTAGAGCATAGTCCTGATACACCAAGGTTGCAGGTTCAATATCCAGTCAGGGCAATACAAGAATCAGCCAATGATGCATAAATAAGTGGAATAGCAAACTGATGTTTCTCTCTCTCTCTCTCTCCTCCCCTCTCACCACCCTTTCTCTGTCTAAAATCAATAAATAAAAATGTAGAGAAAAACTCTCACACATCTAGGAGAAAGGTGCGAAAATGTTCATTGCAATACTGTAACAATGAAATATCAGAAGCAACCTAACTATTCATGAACAAATTAAGAGATCAATATATTGTGTTTTTACCTTAACCATATAGTTAAAATGAATACATCAACCTAGTAAGTGTCAGAAACATAATACTGGGGAGAAATATGTACTGTTCATGAATCTATATACATGCAGCAAAACTAAATCATGTATGGTAATGATAATGTCAAATTTAGGACAGTGATTCCTTTGGTGGAGAGGAGGGAAATAGAATCAGGCAGTGATAGAAAGGAAGCTTTAGTTTTATCTACAGTGTCTCAAAAGATTTGATAAATATGACAAGATGTGGTTGGTGGGCACATAGATATTATATTCTATGTACTTTTTCTATTTACTTAAAATATATTGTAATTTTTTAAGAGGAAGTTAGCAATATTCTTCTACAGGCAAAAACATGGCAGTGACTTGCACTGGAGGAGAGGGCAGGAAAAAGAACATTCTCATGCCAATCTCTAGCACAGTCTGGTGGGTAGTGCTAACATAACCCATAGCTCATGCTTGGAAAAGGTGACACGTCCCCATTTGGCCTGGTACAAATGAGCCAAGCAAGGTCCCCAGTGCTAGAAGGATAAATCACACCTTCTCCTACCCCCTTCTTTCCTGCCTCATCCCAGCTCCCTTTCTTTCCATCTCTTCTGTCCTCCTCTCTAGCTAGAGGGGCATAGAAAGTCACTTTAAGGGAGGAGTGTAGCTAATCTATAGCTCTGTCACTACCATCCCCAACAGGAGACTTCCTCCAAGCATTGGGGAACCTCCATTTATTGGAGGGAAACAAGATTCCAGGGTATGCACAATTGATCATATACCAGAGATATTCATCTACTTTGAAACATTACAGTTAATGGAAATTCAAGCATATATGAAAGTTCTTCTAAAACTATTTGGCCAACATATTATTATTGAGCCTTAACTAAAAGAGAACGGGGGAAATTATTAATATTTATCAACTTGTGTTGATCCCATAGATATTTAAATTATATTTAATAAAATTGTATTTAATAACTTTTCTTATATTCTTGAACATATCCCTATATTTTCATTATTATTTCTAACATAGTGATAGTTTCTAATGATAAATTGCATTATTGACTTGCTCTCTATGAACAGAATTCTCACCATGTAAAGACAGAATGCTGCTTATGATGGGTTCAGAAATCCTATTTAATTAATGTAAAAGAAGATTGAAATTTTAAGTATTAAATTTTCCAAGAAAGTATATATATAATTTAAGAATTATTATTTTACTTTGAATTTCAACCCAAATGGTTATAAATTAAAGGTATTTCTCCTTCCAGTACATTGTCCCCCAGTCCTGCTCCCCAGAAGCAGCCATTGTTACACATTTCCTATGCATTTCTCTAAGATACTTTACACATAGACAAACATGCATTAAAGAGAACTTTTTAAAAAAGGAATGAAATTTCAAATTGTCTTAGCTTGACTTAGCATATTCAATGCTTTTCTACTTGAGGCCAAATCTATAGCACAGAATCTTCAGACTTGGGGTCCGACACAATATAAGTAAAACCCAATAGCAAAAACAAGATGACAAAGATGTTATATTGTTCATTAAACTTTTTATAGAAAAATCAGGAGAGAACAAAGTGTCCATGCAATAAGTTCTAAGACTTGAATCTGGTACCAGTTAGACAGACAATTAAGTGACATATATAATTAGTTTCTGTTATGATGTGTTATGTAAAGATATCAAAATATATTTAGGCAATTACTGTATCCAAAATAGAACATGATCGTAAAAAGAACTGATTATATAAAGTCGTTGCTTTCTTAATCAACCTAAAAATTTGCCAGATCTGAAATACTGCAAGTGTCTGCCCAATTAATCTGCTTTGCCACTTTTGCTAAAATGTTATTCATAATCTAGAGTTTGAGACAAAAGTTCATTAAAGAATATGTGATGTCAAGGAGTATAGTTACTTTTTAACCCAACATATTTGGTATTTCCCATGGAGAGAAAGGATTTTCATGTATTTTTTTTTCTAAATCTGCATCTGGAATCAATTTATAAGAAAATTGTCACCTTTGTCTTTAGGCTCTTCTAACATATAGGAGTGACCCAACCATGAGAAAAATGATGAATCATCTGTATTTCTATATCATGCCTGTGTTTAATGTTGATGGATACCATTTCAGCTGGACCAATGTAAGTCACTTTGCCTATCCAATCAAAAAGAGAGATGGAATAAATCATAGAAAACTGTCACAGAACAGGAAGGAAACTCATGGGCAGCCGGTCTAGTGATCCAGAGCTACAAAAGAGACCTCCACTCCCCCCCATCCCCCATAGCAGCAACCTTTTGATTTGTCTGTATTTTTAGCTTTGCATAAGATTTCATGTAAATAAAGATTTCTCCTTTTAAATAAACTGTGACAAATCACTAGTTTAGTCCAGCTTATTCAATTTGCCTGTAAAGAAATGAGGCCAAGCTAAGGTAAGAGACAAGTTTGCGGCAGATATTGGAGTATGAACCTGGGTGTCCAGTCCTCTTTCCACTCCCTGAATTTGTCTGTTCCAGGAGGAATTCTTCCCTCAATGCTGTGATTCATTCACTGGTTGTGCTACTAAAATGCATGTGAATAACCTTGTAGGTATTTCTTTTCTGCAACGATGTTCTTAATTACATTCTAGGATCGATTTTGGAGAAAAACAAGGTCAAGGAACTCCAGGTTTCGCTGCCGCGGAGTTGATGCCAATCGTAACTGGAAAGTGAAATGGTGCGGTAAGTTGGGGCCTAATTGAGATTCCGATCCAAAGGTTTCCACGGCTTTTACATTCAGAAGCGATGAGCCTGTTAGGACTCTAATGTAAGCCTGATGTTTTTCTGTGTGTGAAAACCTAATAGAGAAAAATCTGAATATGTACTTGGTAGCTACAATTTGTGAAACAAAATGAAAGGGTTTTTAAATATGTAAACATCAAGGATTTAAATCTGTCAACCCAATCCTGAAAACTGAAAATTTAAACAGATGTTAAAGCAGAGAACTGAGGAATACAGTCTGTCATTCAGAAGCTAAAATGGGAAGTAGGGTTTGCGGTATAAATCTGCTTAAATGTTTCCTTCCTTTCACTGAGAGTAACAGTGATCCCGCTGTCACGTCTACGACGATCAAACTGCCAGACCCTTGTGGAGAATCCGCCAATCTGCCGGCTATGCACTGACTGGCCACACCCGGCAAACACATTTCTGCTACGCTCCATGTTGCATGGATGCGGACCTTTCAAGTAGGAAAGGATGGCATTTTAAGGAAGGAAACTTGCAAAATAAAAAAGCAGGTAGGGTGTCAGAGACAGACAGACAGACAGACAGAGAGGGGGCCATAGCTAGCATAGAGGAGGCAAAACTTTACCTCTACCCATCTTGAGGTTTTACTCTTAAACAAAAAGATAGTTTAACAGGAGAAAAACAGTCCATCAACATGTACAGTGCACCCCATGAAAAGTGACTGAAAGCGGCAACTTCGATTTCTGGCTTCCACGCATCTCCACCAAAGAGCAGTGAACCTGGGAGCAGTGGCAGGACAAAGGCCAGCAGTTTCAGGCTCCCAAGGTCTGCCCACTGGGAAGGTGAAAGCTCAGGAGGAGGCCCCTGGAGTGAGGTTTCTTTCAGATTCCTCGGGTCACTCTCTGGGCTAGTAAGTGTCCGTCTCCAAGAAAAGGCGAATTTATATCCCATCTTTAGGCAGGAAAAGGGAAGAAGAGAGCATTTCCTACATTTGCTGATGCTTCCTTGCCTTCAGCTCAAAATAATTTTTACATCAAAGAGGCATACTTGGTGGGGGTGGGGGGCCTATTTTGGTTTCCTTCCCTGGTATCATACTTGGCAACAGGAGGGACAGCAAGAAGCATTATCAAATGCAGTTGCAAAGAGCTGCCCTTTGGCAGAATCCCTCCTTAGCTCCCTCCAAATATAGACTGTTGTGTAATAAAAAGCCTTCGTTAGTCCCTTAAGAATGAGGCCTGTCATAAACCGCTCATTCTGTGACACTTTGGGTTCTGTATTAGACACTACTCCCCATCTCCGCCAGCCTCAGACGAAATAACTGGGCATGGGCTTGGACTCCTCCCACCTCCCTCTGGGGACCCTCCATTCACCAGCTAGAGCTGGCACGTAAGAATGTGGTGGGACAGGGAGCATGGCTCTAGGATATGACAGGTATGCTTTCACTCTACATTAGTGCCCAACTGATCTGGGCCATTTCCCTTAACCTGTCAAATAATAATACCCGCCTCAAGGGGTTCTTACAGGAATTTACAGATGTTTAATGCCTAATTCAGTCCTAGCTTCAAACAGGAGTGTCTAAATACCAGTGACCAGCCCCTTTTCCCCAACCCTCCAGAACAGTCCATTCACCTCTGAGCCTCAGGTCAATTGTAAAACTACCTTTTCCTTCAAGAGAGAGTTGTGATGATGAGCCATGAGGCAAGCTTAAAAGTATTCTCACTCATGCGGAAAGAAAAAGTATTGCATAAATACTATAAAGTGTTTATAAATACCATAAAATATTTTTCTTCAACCTAGACTGAGACAAGCTTGTTCAGATTAACTCCCTAAAACCACTATTTTTTTTTTAATTCTGTTCCCCCTCTCTGATGGGGCCGTTGTGCATGCTCATACGTATGTGTTCCATTTCACTAGTTAGCAGCTACCCACATCCATATGTGTGTCACACACATGATGCCCACAAGCCTCTGCACAAGTGCCCTGAATGGGTAACTGAGCTGAGTAACACTAGCAGGCCAGGCAGGTCTGCCTGTGTAAGGTTAGACTCTTGTTTATATCCAGTTACAAATAACTGTCCTGCTTCCCTTGGTTCTTCTTTCCTTACCCAGTTTGTTTCCTTCATACATATGCCTTCTTTGATTCTTAGTTTCAACTGCCATCTCAACTAGAATTCCTCTGACTCTTCCCATTTTGAATCACTCTGATTCTTTCTGCAAATCACACTCAAGATGTTGACAAGGAACTATGGCAAATGTCAGCTGAAAAGTGACCTTGATAAACCATTGTAAGTGATGTGGAAATGCAGGCAGCCTGGCTGGGACCATCTCTCCTAAACATGTCCCAAGTAGATTCAGCTGACTTGACAGGCAGGCACATGTGGCCTTCCTCCCTCACAGCATCAGAACCATCTCCCCACAGCTCTATGCTTGGTCAAGGGGACAGTAAACCTCACCGAGGGAACCACTCTTAGGTCAAGGGCATTGAAATAAATGAAATCCCTAAGTAAACCTCCAAATAAGCATCCATAGTATAAGTGATACGGAAATGCTCAGGCCCATTGGAAACACTATAGCGTCAACATTGAACTGATAAAAACAACTGCTTCTTTCTCTAGCGTCCATGAGTCTCAAACTTCAAAAGTAGAACACGAAACTGCTTTTTTGCCATAAAAACTCTGTTCCATAAGAAGTGTTATGCTTTAGTGGATTTATGCAGAGTAGACAGCTTCCAGCATACACGTGGAAACAAGTACATGTTTCCAGGCCTTCATAGTTCCCTCTGGGGGCCTTCAGGCCTCGAAATGAATGTATCATTGCATTGAAAGGCCAGCAGAGGGACTCAAGAAGTCAGAGTAGTGGTGGGAACCAAGAATAAATATATCAATTTTATGCATTCATTTGCCAAGTTAATTGAGCACATACCCCCTACTAGGCACTGTGGGGTTTTTCTCCCACCTTTCCATGCACTCTTTTTAGAGAATTGTAAGCACTGCTTTTTCTAAGTTGAAATAAACCCAGGAGAGAAACAAAGGGTTTGATAATATCTATACTTAAACTTTAATCCCTGAACAAATCAAGTGTTGCCTAAACATAAATTACTATTAGGACAATCTACAGAATGGTAGAACACGTTTGAAAATCATGTATCTGATAAAGAACTTGTATTCAAAATATTAAAAGAACTCTCACAAGTCAACAATAAAAAGACATATGACCCAATTTTAAATGCCAAATGATCTGAGCAGACATTTCTCCAAAGGAGATAAACAAATAGGAATAAGTATAAAAGATGCTCAACATGATTGGCCATGACAAAAACAACTGCTTCTTTCTCTAGAGTCCATCAGGGAAATGCACATCAAGATCCCACATCTCACTTACTAAGATGGTTAATAATAAAAAAGAAAGATAATAACAAGTATTGGTGAAGGTGTGGAAAATTGGAACACTCCCACTTGTTGGTGGGAATGTAAAATGATGCAGCCACTTACTTGGAAAAGCTCTTTAATAGTTCCTCAAAAAGTTAAAGAGTTACCATATGACCCAGCAATTCCACTCCTAGATATATACCCAAGAGAAATAAAACAGTTGTCCATAGTGTAACTTGCACATGAATGTTTATAGCAGCATTATTCATACCAGCCCCAAAGTGGAAACAACCCGAATGTTTATCAACTGATGAGTAGATAAACAAAATATGGTATATTCATACAATGGGATATTATTTGACCATAAAAATAAGTACTGATACATGGATGAACCTTGAAAACATTATGCTAAATGAAATAAGCCAGTCACAGAGTAACAAATATTGTATGATTCCATTTATATGAAATTTCCAAAATAAGCAGATCCATAGAGATAGAGAGATTAGTGGTTAACAAGGGCTAGGGAGAGGGGGGAATGGGGAGTGATGGCCAATGGGTAAGGGGTTTCTTTGGGGGAAGATAAAAATACAGGGGTGGGCAAAAGTAGGTTAATAATAGTAAATAATACAATAACTAATAAATAATAATACAAGAATGAACTACGTCTCGTGTACTCACAACTGTAAACCTACTTTTGCTCACCCTTGCATTTTGGAATTAGAGAGTGGTGATGATTGAGAATATGTTAAAATTCATTTACTTGTACACTTCAAAAGAGCAAATTTTATGGTATGTGAATTATAGCTTAATATAGCTGTTCTAAAATTTTTTAATTGCCATTTAGGAGCTAGTTAGGTACTTAATGAAATATAACTACTCTTTTTAGAACACTCAATCACCTAATATTGTAAATTAGATATAATATGGAGAAAAACATATTTTTTGCAGCCCAGTCACTATGCCCCACTCCAAACATGCCCTTCTCCTGCCAAAACCCCCTCACTCTATCAAAAAAGGGGGGGAGCTGTTTGGTTGGGCAAATATTTTGATAGATCACCTGAGATAAAAGGGGAAATTATTACATACTGGTTGCTTTGAGTCAATGCCTGTGAAAGAATACATGGTCACTGGCCATCTTTCTAAGAGGATGAGTTCTTCCTGCTGAAGGTCTTTGGTTTTGAGGTAGCTATTCTGAGAACCTGAGCTGAACTGCTATAAAAATATAGGAATTTCAGAGGCTAAATTTGAGGCGAGAGGGAGTTTTAAAAAAGAGAGGTACCATTGCTAAAATATATAGAAAGGGACTTTGGAACTCAAAGATATCTAATGAGGATTTTAATTAAGTTTTGCCGTGAAGTATGTAAATCCCCTTCAGTATTGCATAACCACCACCATTGGCAATATTCAGGACAGTCTGCTTCACTGTCTAAGGTTTGTGTAATTGGACCTGCTATTTGGGGATGTGAGGAAGTGCTGAGACTGGCCTCCAGGTGAGCTCAGGAAGAGAAATCTTCCTCATCACATTTTCAGAAGCATGGACCTCGCAACAGGGATGCACTGCCTTATTAAGACAGTGGATTTACATCACTGAGATTTACAAACAGGCATTGGATAACTTTGGGCTGAGATG